CTCTAACACAGCATGGTGTGGAGAGCGCTTAGCCAAGCCAGATGGACAAGTCATGAGTAGGCCACAGTTGGCTAGGGGCACATAAGCTATATTTGGCAGAGCTGTTCAAGGTCCAAAGTTCAGCATTTCAGATATGGCCATGCTGATCCCATTAGACTTGAAGTGAGAGCCGCTCACCTGCTTTGAAACGGTCTGGATACAAACTGTTGGGTACCACTGAAATATGTCAGGGAACTAGCTGCAATAAAAACTCTCAAAATGAAATATCTCAAAGTTCCAGCAACCTGGAAACAGGCCTATCAGTAGGGTGGGTAGTCAAGTTTCCCATGTGTATTACATCTCACTTTTAATGATACTGTATGAGCCCATGGCCCCCATTTCTCTCTGTAATTAGAGCTAATAAATATCTTCAAGTGGATATTTTGGCAGACTTTAGAAATATTAACCTATTATTTCTATAGTTATGTGGTTCTGAATTTGATTATGAAAAATATAGCCAAAGTCTTGCTCATCTCAAAAAGCAAACGTAGCAAAAATTAATCCCATGGGACTGTTGTCTGATGTCTGGCCAGCAAAATGAGAGGAGCTGTCTTGTTTTAATGCTTCAACTGCATCCTTTTTTTATCACCTGGGAAGATTTTCAGTTATTCAAACACTGCCACAGAAGAGAAAAAAATGGGATTTGGAGTCAAAAGTATTGGATTGAGACGTCAAGCGTGCCACTTAATGACTGTGGTGGTTAGATTACTTTTCAGACACATTCAGTCCTTTCCTCCCCACCACTTTCATGGGAAAATTGTATTTCCCTGCCCTTTTGACTTTGGGTTTGGCCATGTGACTTGTTGTGGCCAATGGAACTTTGGCAGACATCAGGCACGTGAAGACTCGACATGGGCATGCTCAGTGGGAATTGGTTCTTGCACCTCTGTCCTGGCTAGTCCCCCGGTCTGAGGAGGAAGGGAAACAGGGGACCAGCCCCAGCCTCAGTCTGCAGTTTAGAGTCCACCCAGCCAAACCCAGGTCGGGTGGGCCAACCTCAGCTGACCCACAGACACATAAGAGAATTTTTAAAGGACTCCTGTTTTAAGTTTCAGGGTAGTGTGTAATGCAACAGTGCCTGGTTGACATATCGGCAGAGACTGGGTTTCAGTTAACATGGGGGGGGGGTGAGAATGTCATTATTACGATGTGATATGAATAATGTCATTCTGTTGTCACATTACATGTTGAAGAAATAGAAGTGTCCCACTCCTGCTTTGGGGACAGTTTAGCTAAGCTTGGGCTATAGAACTACATTCTCAAGAATTCCTTTCCCTGTTCATTATGGATTAGCTTTCAGTACCAGAGAAATTTTGTGCAAGATTTCCCAGACAGAAGCAAAGCAGCAGACGTATTTTTTATGCTCAGAAGGTTGGAGCAGGGCACTAGGAACAGCAGGTATTTGTATGCACGTTGTTGCTGATCGGCTGGCTTGCCTTGTTCTTGGCCAAGTACTTGTTCAACTCCAAGGAGAAGCACACCATCTTCCCTGGAAGTCACCCACATCATCAAGGTTGGAGGTGGTGAGGAACAGATGTAGGTTCCACTTTTTATTTTTTCTTGTTCATACCAAGCTTTCTTTTCCAACCACCAGTTCAGCTGACCTATAGCTACTTTAGGCTCAATATCAGATGCAGAGATAACAGCCTTGTCTAATGCTACCACTCACTCCCTCAAGCATATACAGTTTAATCCTGAAAACAGACCCTTCATTCTCTATCACTTAGGGTCCTTCTACTATGGATTGGACTCTGACACATATGGCTGAGTCCATTGTTGTCTTAACCTTTAAATTCAGGCAAGTTCCCCAGACCCTAATCTTGAGGCATTTCTGATAGAGCAAGAAATATGTAAGATTAAATTATTGTTCACTGAGCCCTTACTATGTGTAAACACTCTTGTGTTTTATATGCGTTATCTCATTCAATCTCATTAAATGGTCCAATTCCGCATCCAGACTGGCTCGCTCCTGTCATCATTACCAACTGGGAGTTCAGAGATACCTGCCAGCTACAGTAATACTCCCAGCTCTTCCATTTGGGGTTATAGACTTGGAGCCAATGCCCACTGGGGCGACTCTGGGAGGCCTGTGCTGCCCTCATATAAAGAGTCTGAATCACAGATGGTGCCCGTTAGGGCTTTGTTTCCCGCTCTTCCTCACCCTCAAACTTGGCATTAATCTTTGTCCAAAGGAACACCCTTTGATCCTACCCAGGAACTCAGTTCTCCTCTAAGAATGAGGCCTGGCTCTAAATCTTTGCCTAGTGACTGGGCCCTGGTGCCACAGTCAGGTCTCAGATAGGCACTGCGTGCCCTCCTCAGTCCCAAGTGTTGACCCTCCTGGACTGAAGCAGTGTCACTCATTGGGGTACCCCAGCCCTCACTAGACATTCACCCCTAATCAAGAGCTGCTTCCTATTGAGCCTCTTGCCCCACCCATACCCTCCACTTACCACCAGGACTGACATAGCTGCCCTCTTTGGCTACAGCCCGTGGGCCTCTGCACTGTGCATTGGCAGCCGAGTCGGTTTCCCAGCATTTGTCCTTGTCTCAGGAAGCAGGTGTTCTAAGAAGGTTTGCCAGCTTGTACAAGATTAAATGTGCTGTCGCTTCTAACCCAAATGCTCAAGTGAATTCGGTGGTTTTTCAGTATCAATAACCTTGGTAGTTTTGCGCTGTATCAACTTGGCTAAATTGGAATGTTGTGTCCCAGCATTCCCTTCCCCACATTGTTCTGGGTTACAGTTGGCTAAAAAAAGATGAGCGCAGAATTTAGAAGGCAGAAAGGAAGCAAGCAGCAGCTCTGACTCTGAAGATCGCTGAGGTTAGAGGTGGTGAGAGACAGATGTGGTAGTGCCAGTGGTAAACACGTCGTTTCTCTTTCCTGCAGCAAGTCAGCTCTTCTTCCTGTTGGCCAGCTCTACGGACCTACGGCAACCCCCAGCTCATCACCAAATGGTTGGCTGTGCATTCACAGAGGTAATAGCGACACAGAAGCAATGACCTTCCCAGACTCCTTCCCCAGCCCCTTCATGGTTTCCACCCCAGCAGCTGCAGGTGCCCAGCTCTCAGATTTCCCTGCCAGCTCAAACTTGTCTACCAGCCCCACAGCTGGGGGAAGGCTGGGTAGTGACTTTTCTTCCCTCATTTTAGGGGTGGCCAATTTTCTTTTGAAAAATACCAGTATGCTTTTCTACAATTTGGCCAATGTGAATTCAGAATTCTACTAGGAATTGTGTTCTTCCCCCCTACCCCGCCCCCAAGTTCTAGGGCTCTTCCGCAAGTCCGTAAAGGTGGAGGCTCTGCAGCCTCTCCATTTAAAGCATTTTGTGAGTTGGGGATATTATTTTTAACTGTGAGTTTTTTTTTTCGTATGTCCTTTGTTTTAAACCCTTAACAAGGAAGAATTTGTGAAATGGTTTCCTAGTCAAATATGTAATCATGGGCAATTTGTTTTGTGGGAAGTAGGGAATGGCAGGCATCCTGGAACGGAGTTAAAGAAATCCTAATTACTCACACCTGCAGAAGCTGTCACTTCTGCAAGGCCTGTAATTAGCACCCAGAGCGTGCTGGAAAAGTGTGATTGCCTGTTTAAACAGGGGCGCAGCCCACAGGCTGCCCATACTGGGCTCTCCCACTGTGTTCATCAGCCCAGCCTGGGCTCTCCGGTCACTTTAAGGCCAACTCCACGACTGAACAGTGTGTGGCCAGCTGAGCACACACACTGTTCCCCATGCAAAGCAGGTGTGCCCACTTAATAAAATTGAGTCCTTTTTACTTCGTGATTATGAATTTTCTGCTTTTCTATCCCAGTGGTTCTCAGCTTTGGTTGTACGTTAGAATCACCAGGGAAATTCTTTAGAAATTCTGATGCCCAAGCTGCACCCAGACTAATTAGATCAGATGTTCTCTGGGGTAGCCGTTTTTAAGCCCCTCAGGCGATTGCAGTGTGCTGCCAAGTCTGGAAACGAGTTCTAGACCGGCCAGTCTCAGACTACGGCTGCACCAGAATCATCTGGAGGGCTGGTTAAAAACCACCCCCAGACACACTAAGGTGTGGGTGGGTTCAATACCTCACGTCTCATACTTACTCTAAGAATGCTGTCAATGTTCAAAACAATGTTGAATTCCATTTGAAATTAGAATCATCTTGTTCTGCACGATGCATTATGCTAAATTTTCTAGTCATTAACTCATTTAATCATTTTCACAAAGCTTTCATTCTCATCCTTCAAATCTTAGAAATAAGTGCCAACCCGAGGCACCTCCCGTCTGCTCTTCACAAAGACACCTGTCAGGGCAATTGTCGTCACTGCGTTTGTTTCCTCCTGGGCCCTAACCAGTCTGTAATCTTTATTTTCTCTCTTCCAGTTCCATGTAAGCTCCATGATGGCAGAAACCCTGCTTGTCTTCACCTCGTGCCTAGCAGGTAACAGGTCCTCCACAAACACTTGCTAGATTAATCAATCCAGAGCAACCCAGGGAAGAGGTACCAATATTGTCTGTATTCCACAGACCAGGACACAGTAAATACAGAAAAGGTTAAGTGACTTGTCCAAGATTAGTGTGGAAGAACCAAGGTTCACACTGACCAAGGCTGGGTTTTCAAACAAACCCCTGCAAGAACTGATCATCAGCCTTAAATAAAAGGTAAGCCTTCTTTCCCAGCAGTAAACTGAACTACCCACCTAAGAATGTCATCGTTGCCTTACTGCCACTTGATTCAAAACAATGTATTTTTCAAATAACAGTAAAAACCCAGAGCACAAACCCATGTGGCCAGACTGTAGAAAGTGGCAATTTCCTATTTAAAAAAACTTTACTGTTCATACCAGAAACCTATTTACAATGCCCTAAAGCAGGTCAAAAATTCCCACCTCTTGTAACATTACATCCAAGCCATTTAATACAAAATGTTGGTATTTAATGGAAGCAAAGCCACATGCAAACAAATGGTTCTGAATTGTCTGACTTTATTGAGCATGGCAATACAATTATTCTGGTAATAAATTAATATATACAGTTACAAAAATGTTGACTGCTTTCTAAGAAAATGCTTCTGAGTGTATAAAGGATATGCAGCATCATTTACACAGTTGACTATAATCACAAGACTCAGAAGTGTGGTAACACCAAATTACTGAAGAATGGAGTCGCTCTCTTATGATTCATGATTTAGTTTTGAGTTTATGAAGGTTTCAATGACCATTTCAGCTCCTGCAAGCTACAAAGCCTGAGCTGACAATTTATGAATCACCTGATCTAGTCTCCTAAGTGTACAGACAATACACTGGCCTTGCCAAAGATTACAAAGCTAGTCAAGGACAGAGGTTGAATTACCACTTCTCAGGTGTTTTCAGGTGTTCCAGAAATGTCTGTTGAATTAATTAAGGCACATATATTACATCATACAGAACTCTAGTCATGACTGAAAGACCCTGGCATTACTTTCTGCTTAATAGAAATTTAAATTAAATTCTCATGTGTTCTTTTGTAGTTAACAAATTTAGTGACTTGGCTGCTCGGAAACAAAATCATTCCCACGACTGCAGCTGGTCACTGATCATTGATTGTTGTTTATGCTTTTCTCCTGAAACATCTGGACCCAGGCCACTTCCTGTTCTTCTGTGCTCAGACCTGTATCAAAAAGTGTTTATTCTTGTTTGAAATTCATCATTAACTGTGGGAGCTAACATCATCGCTATCTACAAAGCCATCAACTTTTGCAGATGGGGCAGTTTGTTTCTCTGTGCAGCTCATTTCGAAGAGCCTGAGCCTGCTCTGTTCATCTGGGCTGTTGCTGGTTTCAAAGCAAGTGTGGTTGGCTTCTGGGGAGTCAGTGTTCCCAACAGCAATGAGATTTCTAATCACATCAAGAATTTGCCATCTAATGCTTCACATAATGTATCAAGTACTTCTAGCACACATTTTTGGTGATTTATTTTATGTCTCAGCTAATGGCTGCACATAGCCATGCTGCTGGCAGGCAAAAAACAAAACAAAAAAACCCCGCTCACTCATTTTTGGTTAAATTCCAATGAGTGCGTGCAGCATGTTTATCAATCAGTAATAGAATGTTCACATTCTGGCAGGGATTTTTCTGTTCAGTTGTAGGAGCCATTGCCAAAACAACCGGCCAGACATCAGTGTGTGTGTTTTTTAAAACTTCATACACACAGAAGACTTGCGTATATAAAGGGAATTTTTGAATTTCCATGTAAGTGATGCTAATTTCTTGCTACTCTCAGCACTGCAGCAAAGGCAAACTGATCGCCTATCTTTATATATTTCTTTTTCTCCAGGGCAACATTTCTCTGTAAGAGTGAATGTTTGGTTTCGTTGCAACACACAAAAGCTTATTAGATGTGCTCCCAGGGGTACATTTACTGGGAACAGGCATCTCATTTTCAGGTTCTTCCCCAGCAAATGCAAGACTTGTAAATGCTTCACCTTTAGGAGTAGTGATTATATTTTGTGGGAAGGCTAAGAGCTCTGCCGCCAGCTATGAAGACGCGACATTTGTACCCATCTAGAATGAATTCCACTAGTCATATCTAAAAGTAACAGACCAACGAGAACCCAGATACAGCCATGTTACTCGCCACGACCTGGCAACCAAATGGAAGCGCTGCATGTGCTGGGTCGCCGTGCTTTTCTCCTGTCACTCTGTTACCAATGTCACTTCCTTGGGCTGTTTTTCTGTCTGTCTTCAAGGAACATGCAGAATATTGATAAAGAAACTCCATATTCTTTGACTACTTCGCTTTTGACTTTTCTTTCTTTTGTACTAACTTTAAGCTCTGGAAAAAAATGTGAGCTCAATATATTTTCTAATCCCATGACCAGAACTCAAAGCATGAAGTAAAATGGAAAACACATGCTTAACAGAAGAGGAACATCCTAATAATGGCCAGGCTGAAAAGACTGGCTTGGAGTACTGCGCAGTACTGACAAAGCAACTAGTTTTCTTAAGTTTAGAATAACAAAGCTGATAGTAATTTCAAAAAGGGCATAATTTAATAATCTTAATAACCAATTAAAAAAATAAAATCTCTTTTTTTAAATTAAGGAATCCTAATGACTTTGAGGTAGATGAGGCTGTTATCAGATAACAATAGGTATAAGATAAAAATAACAAAACAGAGGGAAGGAACGCACTGACTTCAAATTGTCTTCCTTTAAATTCATATGGAAAAGAACGGACACTTTTTCCAATTCAAAGTTCTAAGCATGAAATCCAGATACGTCATGTCATGGACTTGCCTCTTTCATTGGAGAAGAACTTGGCAACCAATGGAAAGAATCCAAAACAGCAAACTACAAAATGATTGTCCCTAAGAGGAAGCCAGTAACTCTGCCTTTGATTTTTCCGGCTTGGCTCATCCCCAAATGTTCAGGATTTGGATTCCTAAAGTCTTGTTTAGCATTTAACTAATTCTTTATTGGTGGAAGGGGCTGGGACTGTTTCTCCACACATAAACTGCTCCTAAGAAAGAACAAAAAAAATTACATTAACCACTGAGTGTGTCACAAATGCATCAACATTGAACTTTCATCCGGTTACAAATCAATCAAGCTGTGCACGTTTCCATTTCTCTATCACTTCATCCTTCTTCAAAGGGTCAATGTCAGCACCAGAATTATAAACTTAAAAAAACTATCAGTTTTTAGCCATGAATTCATATTTAATATAAAGCACCTTATCTTATAAACAAATGTGCCCGTCTTTATCACAAAGCATTCATCTCTCAGAAGTGACATTTATAAAGACATTGCCACGTCTTTTCAGTTTCTGTTTTAATTATTACTTACGCCAAAATTTCCCCACTTCAGCATTTGGCCATTCAAATAACTGATTTCAATGGCCAAAATTATTACTTCTTCTAAAAGGGATAGCTCCTTATGTGTTTCCCAGCAGAGATATGTGCAAATGTTAACTTCTCTGTAAATTAAGTCCAATCTCTGATTATTATCCCGGCTTATCAACTACCATAAGAAATCTTTGCCTCCTGGGTTACCCCTCACATCCTGCAATCTGATCCCCATGAGGGTCGGCGTGAGTTCTGTCCCTGTTGCTCTCTCACTCCTGCCGGGTACCTGGAATCCTCCCACTGCTCTTTGGAATTTACGGTCCATGAGCAGAGCAACGCTCCACCTTCTCAACCTCTTCTTTAAAATGCCCCTGAGCCTTCTTGCTCTAATGCAGTGGTTCTCAAGGTGAAGGGGTAGTGGTGGTGGGGGGTGTTGATTTTGTCTCCGGGGGACATTTAGCAATTAGAAGGCTGAGGTGCTGAGTAGAGGCACAGGACAGCCCTGGACAACAAAGAGTTATTCAGCCCCAAATGTCATTAATACTGAGGTTGAGAAGAGGCCATTCCCTAAAGACACGTTTCCCATGCACCCCCTCGAGCGATGGCTCTGTGTTCTCACAGGCCCCCAGTGCCACCGAGACTGGAGGAGGAACTGATTGCTCCTTTCTGTCACTGTTCTCCTTCCCTCTCTAAAACCCACCAACTTTGATTCTTATGCCATGAGATTGTATCATCATTATTCCTCTGTTGCTGCCATCTACTCCCCTTGGATCCCTTGTTCCAACCCTTCTGGAATCTCCAGTGTATTCATCCTAAACCTTTTTCACTGCCCTCACTCCCTGAATGCCTTCTTTACCTAGTTTAAATCCCACAGTCAATTACATCATCACTTTTCTCTCGCTCCTTCCTGTTTACATGGCAAAAACACAGCCCTGGTTAAATCTAACTTCCTACATCTACATTCACCCATGCGGCTCAATGTCTACCACCTAAACCCTCTCTTGGTCCTCTATGACCACCAGTTACTGCCGCATGTCTCTGATCCCCTTTGCAACAAACTCCTTGAAAGAAATGTCTACACTTGTTGCCTCCTATTCTTTTCTCATTCTCTCCAGCAAGTTTTCCACCATCAGGCTCTGTCTCCATTGCTCTACTGAAACTGCTCTTGGTCCCATCACAAGTGGCCTGTTAAATCCCATGGTTAATGTTCAATTACCTATCACTGGCATCTGACAAGGTTGGTCACTTCCTCTACCTTTTCTCATCTGGCTTCCAGGATATGACACCGGTGGTTTTCCTCCTCCTCTATGGTTGCTCCTTCTCACCCAGCTTTGCTGATTCCCCCTTCCCTCCCTGACTGTTCAATGCTGGAGTGGCCCCGGGCTTAGTCTTTTGTTTTGTCCACCTCTGCTACATCCACAGTGCTGGTGATCCCACCGGATCGCATGGCTCTAAATGCAGGTGTTATGCTGATAACTCAAATTTACAGCACCAAGTGACCACTCCTTGATCTCCATACTTGGCATATATCAATTGCCCTCTTGCCATGTAACCCCTCAAGCAATGGCTCTGTGTTCTCTCTGAGCCCCAGGGCCTTCCACCAGCTCTACTTGGACGAAAAATAGACCTCTCAAAAATAGTATGTCCAACTCCCACCCCTATACCTGCACTCACTTCCCCCGCAGTTGATGGTAAATCTATCCTTCCAGTTCTGAAGGCCACAAATGTTGAAATCATTCTTGATTACTATCATATATCTAATGAGTAAGAAATCCTTGTCCTTTAAAGTGTACCCAGAATCCAACCACTTCTCACTATGCCCACTGCTGCAGCTTGATCCAAGCTACCCATCCCTCCTTTGAAAAGTCTAATACCCTGGTTTTCCTGCCTCCACACTTGCTCCTTCGTAGTCTACTCTGACACAGCCAGGATCCCTCTTTTAAAACTTGAGTTGGATCATGGCACAACTTTGTAATAGAATCCTCCAGTGGTTCCCTCTACCATTCACAGGAAAAGCCAAAGACCCTAGAGTGGCCCACAAACATCTCTGATCTGCCCCACTGCACTAATTCTTCTTGGACAATGCTCACCCTCATTTACTCTGCTCTGGTCACACTGGCCTCCTTGCTGTTCCTCAATAAAACCAAGCATGTCTCTGCCTTAGGGCTTCTTCACTTACAGTTCCCTTTGCTAGACTGCTCTTACCCCTAATACGTACAGGGCTCACTCCCTCACCTCGTTCAATCTTTGCTCAATAGGCACGCCATGAGCCCCCTATTTAAAATAGCACCCTTGTCTCATACCAGCACTCTTGATCTCTTACCCTGTTCTCTTTTTGTTCCAGAACACATTTTAATACAAGAATAATCAGTAAACTTACAAATTATAGTCTAAATTATAGCCTGCTTCTCTCATGAGGCTAAGTGCCCTATTCCCACCTTCCCTATAGTCATGTTAGAGATTATCCTTAAAAATGTCGAGCTGTTTTATGTCAATTATATCTCAAAAGAAAAAAAAAAAGGTTAAGCTTCTTACTTAAGACTTTATTCAAAGTACTGACCAAAAGTTGGGATGCGTAATAAGAACACTTATTTTGTTTTCTATATCCTATATTCTTGGGGGAAAAACAGGACAACTAAAGACTAAAGAAATTGTACAATTGCAACTGATTATATCTCAAACAATATACTGCAGAATTCTGTGTACAAGCCAGGTAAGAGATGCTATACAACTGTTCCCTTCAAAGTAAATCTAGGCAATCTAAACAATTTTAATCACTTATTAAATAAAGGAGGAATAAAGAATGTCAACCAGCCTTTATGTCTTTCATTTAATAATTATAATTTTCACTAGATAAAACCATTCTTTTTTATTTCCCTGTCTAAAGCTAAAATCAGTTAAACTGAACCTTTAAAATTTTAATTTAAATTTGTTTATGAATGGTTTCTAAAATTTGTTTTAAAAAGAGCATTTCCGTAACACTGTTAGAAAACATTCTCCTGCACTTACACACCATAGACAGACTGCTCTAGGTTCTTGCACCACAACCCTCCCCCCACCTTTTAAAATTTGACCCCTTACTTTGTCATAAATCACTTTTATAATGAGAGAGCAGCTAGGACACGTTGCCACGTCTTCCCCATTCTCCAAATCTTCCTACAATAAAATCAAACACGGAATGGTCAGCATTGCCTTCCCTTTGCAAACTCCTGCTCCCAAACCCTCCCACCCCACAGGGCAGCCAGCTCCTCTGTCGCTTGCCTCCCCACAAGGTATGTGAAGGCCAAAGGGGCCTCCCGAGAGAAATGCCAGCCCCAGTTGTCCCTGGAAGCGTTACTTGGGAGAAATACCCTGGAAGGTTAGTCAAGGTCCAGTCAAGGTCGCCTCAAAACTTCTGGGATGACAAAAACGGGTCTCTTGTTCCAAAGAAGTATCCCAGGAAGGTGGATCCGACGGCGAGAAATGAGGCTCCCCGCCATCCACCCCCTCCCTGCTCCTGTCCCTAACCCCACTCTCAGCGTGACTTAAAGACTAGAACGGAATGACCACTGACAGCGAACAATATCAACTTTCGGGGAATTCAAAAACAGCATAAAAAGAGCGTGGATAACAGGAACCGCGTGGGCTACGGAACGGCGGAAGAAACACCTTAAAGCGAGAACGCGCCTGCTCCGATGAGAAGCCGGGCGGGACCCAGAAGTTACCTTGGTGATGCAGAAGTTATCGCCACAAGGGCAGGGGTAGAAATACGTCTCCAGGTCCTCGTCATATTGGAAGTCCTCGATTTCCACCTCATCGTGAAACACTGCCATCGTACGGGGGCCAGAAGACGGTCCCCACCAACGGAAACCGACGTAATCTGGTGGACGCCTGCCCCAGCCGGGCGTTGTCGTCATGCGCAGGCGCAAAAACTACTGGTTCCGGCGCATGGACAATGACGCAACTGCGGGCTTGGAGGCCAACTGGGTGACCCGGTCGCGGTCACCATGGAGATGGCTGAGCTGGAGTGTTGAAAGACCGTGGAAGGGAGTGCTTGCTGCTTTGTGGTGTCGTGTGCCGCTCCGCCCATTGGACGGAAGTGACCAATAGAAGTGAGGATCGCTCGAGATGCTGCTACGTCACGTCGGGGACACCGGAAGCTTTCAGGAACCGGCGGCGGAGTTTGGTGCTGTTCAGCAAGCTAGGTTCCTGGTCTGTTGGCGGCGTGGAGGCACCTTACTGCGGCTGTGGTTTCCCGGCCTCACGTCTCTGGACCTTCGGTAGGCGTTAACTAGACCCCGCTGAAGGCCGCAGCAGGTCTAGATAGCATAGCCAGGCCCTCGGCGCCCCTGGGGAAAGGCCCGCAACCTTGCTAGGTCTTCGGCGGCGGGAGCAGCTCAGCCTTCTCAATCTCTGTGCCTTCCTGGCGACCAACGAAAAGCTCCCTCGGAATTTCGATGTACCGGGTGACCTTGAGCTCAGGGCGACGCCTTGCTTGTAGTTCCTGGCTGCACTCGGCTGTACAGGTATATCCCCGCCTCTTCATCACCCCAGATAATCTTCAAATGCTCTAAATTGTGTTGTTGGAAGGACCGAGACCTGGGAAGCAGGTGAAATTCTAGTCATATGTTTGCCAAGCATATGACATTATTTACTACAGTGATTTGTAATAACAGTAATAGGATCACCTTTTATTATAAGGAGTTTGCTTTGCGCCCGGTATTGGGCTAAGTATAACTCTTCCATCAATCTTGGGAGTTTAGACGTTATTCCATATTATTGATCCTCAAACTGAGATATAGAGTTGGGGATCTAGACCAAAATCATACGCCTACGAAATGAAGAACCTGTCTGTCCCCAAAACCTGGCAACACATTACTTAACTTGCGTAAACCAGTTTCTTCTTTGTAAAAGGAATAGCATCAGCGGACAGAGTTATTACCATGAGGCCTCTTTATACTTTGAAGCGAAACGCAAAAATAACAGTGCTTTGTCTTGGAAGCAGTACTAGTGCCTGTTTTGGTATATCCGGATCCCCTGGGGTAGTGTTTCATTACTAGGCATTAATTCAAAACTAGGTAGACAAGCAGTGCAGTGTGGTGAATAAAGTGCTGTTGAGAAGTAGATCTGGATCCCGAATCTGACTCTTGTAGCACTGGGAACTGGATATTTACATTCTTTGGATATTTACATTATTTCTTCTTCTGACTTAAAAGAAGGTTGTATTAGTGGTAGTTTATAAGATCCCTTTCAGATCTAACATTCCTTCTGTGTGGGAATTAGGAATTTTACTTGGCCCAGCAATCATATGTACCACAGTTTACATTCACATAATGCATATACATAATACTCACATATGTACACATCCCTCTGTGGACTGCTGAGATGTTCACTAGAGCAGTGCTGGTTCCCTTGAGATCTCAATTCGGGTCTCCTTGGCTTTCCATACTGTTTCCATCCCGCCATCTCTTGGCCACACCCCTTGTCTGGCCAGAAGTGGTTCCCTGTGTGTTTTTGCCCAGTGTGGAGTTCATGCTATGCTGAAGAAAATAAAACCATAGCCAAACATGTGATGCAGTTTTTTTTTTTTACTCCCCCCAGCATTTTTAAATAAAACATTACAAATGACTATTAAACTTTCTATTTATTCCTAAAAAGTAATGGAAAGGTTCTGTAATGAGACATTTTTGGACACCGAAAGCATGACAAAACCAGATTTACTAGTTGCTGTAGGATCATTTGAGATCACAAAGTTATTTAATCGTAAAATGTAACACACTGATCTGGAAAATAACAGCGACCAAAATTCTTAACGTTAGATTCAACTTAGAAATAAGTCACAATTATATAATGGAAACTATTTTATGAGTGCTGTTGTATATCAGGCTAAGGGGTATTATTTATTAGCAATATCAAACTACCTCTCAAGATTGTTTGACAGGGAGCCAGGAGGTTAATGCATTTCGGTTGGTTTTTTTTCTGGCACTCTTGCTTGCCAGGTACTTCTGTGGACATTCATTTCTCTCAGCAGTTCAGTGAACTGGTGTTGGCATTCCCATTTAAAAGTGGTAAGAGGTGACTGGCCCAAGATCAAAAAGCAGGAAGGAGTCAGGTCTGAACCCAGCTCCGTGGATTCCAAGTCAAGCACCCTTGAAATAACTTGAATGCCACAGGGGTTCCCTTACCAAATGCCATGCCAGGAACCCCTTTGTTTCTTCAGTAGCACCTAGGATTGGAAATCAGTGGTTTCCATGATATTTCTGTGAATTTAACTTTATTTCAGTGCACTGATGATCTTCGAGGCATTCTTGGTTTTTGTTTCTCTCCTACCTCATCCAGTCTATCAACAAGTCTTAGGACTTTAATTCCAAAATATATTCCATGTTCATCTACTTCTGTCAGATCTATAGCTTAATCCTACTCTAATCTTAGACTAGAGCCTTCTAATTGGACTTCCTGCTTCGACTCTTGCCCCCCTGATCAGTTCTTCACATAGCAGCGTGGGTGATTCCTTAACGTAAATTCGATCATGTCCCTCTGCTGGTTTATTCAAACCATTCACTTGCTTCCCATTGCCCTTAGAATAAGGCCTGGTCTGGCGCATCCACCTACTCAACCTCACTCAAACCACTGTCACCTAGCTCAGTGCTCTCCAGTCGCACCGGCTCTGGTTCCCTAACACACAAGTGTGACTGATGCTCTGCTCTTAACATCTGCTTGACTGACTTCTTCATCATTCAAGTTTCAGCTCATGTCTCTTGAAAGAGACCTTTCCTGATATCCCCCCAGCCACCCTACTCTTACCTGTTACACACACTATAATAAAAGCTTCATGATGGCAAGGACCTTGTGCCTGGTTGTTTTGTGTCTCCCTGGCCTAAAATAGTGCCTTGCACCCCAGTAATTGTTTAGTAAATTGAGCATACTTGTTGAACAGAAACCAGTGTCATTTTAAATCAAATTTAATCTATTGCTTGCATTCATTTTTTTACTGCTTACATAGATACAAGTTTTATTTAGCATTTATGATAATTTTCTCTGTTTCATAAATGGAGTTAACTAAGATTTTTGGGGGGTGAGGTAAGGCCTATGAGGCTATAAACATGTATGGAATATTCTTGTCTGTATAGTTTTAGAAATTACTTAATATATATTAATATTATATAGTTAATTAAATACTTACATTGAATATGTGAAACCATTGGACATATTTAAAAGATGAGGTAGCTTTAAAAAAAAAAAATAGCCTTACTGCTTTGGTAGTCACTTTGAGCAGTGTGATAAAAAATACCCATTTTTACCAGTAGGTGGCACTCTTGGTCATGGTATTTACAAAACAAGATTTTAAAATTTAAGAGAACAGCTTTTAAAAATTAACATTTCTTTGTTTTGCAGTTCATCTGAGCAGTAGACCATTCAGACAGCATAAGCACTAAACGAAGTATCTTATATGAGGGCTATTTTAGTAATAGTTGTCCGAAACATTGAGCAGAACAATGTTCTCATATTAAACTATATGTTAAATTTTATTAGGGAACTTGACCTTAAATGACACTAATTGTATCATTCCAGTCATTGGTCTGGTCTTTCATAGGGTGGAGTCAGAAAAGTGGGAAAAAACACCCAGCAAAAAGAAAAGTAGAAAGATGAGGGGAAGAGTTGATGAGAATGGGGGAAATGGAGCAGTTTTGCTCTGAGGCAATGCCTCCTGACTATAGTGAGCCTTGTCGTTTGCAGCTAGGAGATAGTAGTGCTTTTTAACAGTTTTCCAAAACATCATTCTTCCATGTTGTCTCTGCCATTGCAGGAACTTTGTGAGAATTTCAATATATGAAAACACTGTCCGGGTTCCAACTGGTGTCTGTCTGAAGGTCTCAGTATAATACCAGGACCAAAATATTGTATAACAGTCAGCCAGCCACCTATATACTTAATTACTCCTAAAATATCATGGACTTCTAAAGTAAGTTTCTTTCTTTCTATGATTAACATACCATATTTGGTTTAGCATATATAAATGAGAGAAACTACATTTAGTAGTCTTGTATGAGGTAAAGAGGCATTACACATTTTTCATTTATTCAAGAGAAAAGTAGCAAGTAGCATTATTTCATTATTTATCCACAATGATACTACATTATACTATGGCAAAAAATAGATCTTTTACCTGATCTAAAGATCAGTTATGAAGCAGTGACTTCTTTGATATGACTTTATTATAACTGAAAAAACTACATATGAGTTATATCACTACCTGATTTATTTACTTTATTTTCTGTCTCTACCTTCTAAAATATAAGGTCCCCAAGAAGGTCTGTTTTGCTACTGTCTATATTCCCAGTGCCTGCAACATAATGGTCTCAATAAATATTTGTCAGATGAAGGGCTTAATTAATCAATATGGAATAGGAACATAAGCACATCTAGCTCGAATGTTTTTCTAACACTAAATTTAAAACAATTAATTTATATAGTGCCTTCCAAAGAGCTTAGGAAAAAAGAGTATTCTCATACATCTTCATTTATTCTCAAGCTGACTAAGAGGAAAGAACAGATATGCAATATAACATGTTAAAAGTGGCCATCTTAGGCAAAAGAATATTTAAAAATAGGCTGAGGAAAACAAGATGGTAGGAACTCCCTCCCCCCCCCCCCCCCCCCCAAAAAAAGGAAAAAAAACCATCTCACTCCTAATCAGTGCTTTTCCTGATAGGTCAGTAGTTTTTAGACTTTGAAATGTTGGGAACCTTTCTGGGTTTTTGTTTTTTAAACCTTTTTACTCAAGTATAATTTACAGATAGATAAGTACATATATCCTAAGAGGACAGCTTGATTAATTTTTTTTTATTAAGACAGTTGATTCCCATGTGTCCCTGGCCCCCACACATGCACAGCTTCTACCATCGTCAGCATCTTTCACTAGGGTAGTGTAGTTGTTACAGTTGATGAACCTACACTGACACATCATTATCATCCAAAGTCCATAGTTTCTATCATGGTTCACTCTGGCTGTTGTACATTCTATGGACTTGGACAAACGTATAATGATATATATCCATCATCCTGGTATCACACAGAGTATTTTTACTGCCCTACAAATCCTCTGTGGTTTAATGAATTTTCAGAAAATGAGAATACCCATGCAGTCAGCATTCAGATTATGATACGACATTGTCACTATTACTTCCCAAGGCTAACTGCTAAATTGATCTCTAGCTTCATAGATTGATTTTGTCTGTTTCTGTACCTTATATTACTGGATCCATAGACTGCTGTTTTGAGTGGCTGCTTTCATTGTTTTCATTCAATGTGATATTTGTAATATTCATCTATGTTATCACATATAGTTGCAGTTTCTTCCCATTGCTGTGAACCTCAGTGTATTTGTCCCTTGTGCTTTATTTATCAAGAAATATTAAAGACTTATGTGGTGCTCTTTGGTTGGAGTACAATTATCAAGCAGTTAGAAAATCTACTCCCCTGTAATAGTATAAGATAAGTCATGTGAACTTGGTCAGGGATTTTGGAAACTAATAGAGAACATGACTATTTGATAGTACCAATAATTACATATGTGTGTACTGTGGAGATCAGTTAAATTAACTCATAAATAGTGGCAGAAGTTTTCCCCCACTCTCAGGGAGAATTAGGCCCATAATCGCTTCATCATTAGATCAGCTCCTAACAGTATGGACAAAAATCTAAACCCTTTTCCATTGGCCCCTAAAATAGTCTGATATTTCTCTACTTTTTCTTAGCATATTTTAATTTTCAGTGTCATGTTTGCCCAGGAAGCGCCATGGCCTGTGCTGCTGCGTTGACCCCAGCGTTGCTGCGGGGCGCTGTGGGAGTCGCCTGTACCCAGGCTGCTTTGTTGAGAGCGACACGCAGCACTCTGCGCCACCTTACTCTAACCAGGTGAGTCATCAGCCTTCGGTGTCATTTGAAGTTGATTTTCAAAGAGACCTGACCTGCTGATGGTCGTGGGAGGCATATCAGAGCCTTGAAGGCATAATATAACATACGCTTAAATGTGCATAACGTCAGTAAATCGTTAAACTTTAGTTAGATGTGCAAATTTTCATTGACCATTTTCTAAGACTCATAATGTGATAATGAATTTTGGATCGGCATGCTATTACAATGGAAACTTAATTTAATTACTTCATGTGAGGATAATAATAACCTAATTTTCCTTTGTTTTACAGCATGATGAAGTCCAAAAGGAAAACTGATCACTTGGAGAGAACCGCAAATGCCGTCCGACGGGAGGTGTGTACGTGTGGGCTGAGGCAGGTTCTCCTAGGCCAGGCAGCTTGCACAGTTATGAGTGGCTGATGGCGGAGCCACTAGATGAGCTTTATCCCTTTGAAGACAGTCAGGGAAAGTTTGTTCTTTTTCTCTTCAGAATTTTTCTCAACAGGACATAAGATAACTGCTTTGAAAAGATGACAGTGAAATACTCAAAGTTTTCCTTTTAAACTTGGAAGAACAGATTTTTTTTTTTTTTTTTTTTTTTAAATGAAGGGCATACAGCAGCCATTGGGGGAACTGCCCTCAGAGGCGTGATGTGTAGGGTTATGTTTTAGGGAGAGAGCTTCTTTTAGAGCCCACATTGTGAATAGCTTACCTTTTCTTTTTCTTTCTTTCTTTCTTTCTTTCTTTCTTTCTTTCTTTCTTTCTTTCTTTCTTTTTTTCTTTTTTTGACACCATGTCTCAAAGTCCTTGTTCTTATCCCTACTATAGAACAACTTATTTCATCAAGGGAGAGAACACTGACATCTGAGAAAGGAAGGTGGAAGAGCTCTTATTACCCTTCCCCTCTGCTGACTTTTTCCCACCATGTTCAAATTGTACAATGCTAATCCACCACCTGAAGGGGTGTCAAGGGCTGGGAAATAAGGATCCTCACCCTTTACCTCAGTGAGTAACCACATTTTCTTTTTAAAAACATAAATTGGATATTTGTTTTGCTTTTTGAGTGATTCTTTACATATTTAGATGTATTTAGCTTAGTATTATAAGGTAAAAGTATTTCATATAAGGAAGGATTTATACACTTCTATAAGCATGGTCAGAAATTGTATTGTTGCAGTAATTTAATTTTCAGTAGTAAGAGTAGGCTCCTCTTTAACGTACAAGGGTATTGTTTAGGCCCCATTTTTCAAGCTGGTTCTGTTTTCAGAAAACTGCTCTGGGACTGAGGGCAGTGTGCTTGTGGATTCAGCTTTGAGCCAATGCTCTTTCTTGAGAAGTCTGTGCAAAATTAGTTCAGCATAATAGATTTATGGATGTGTGGCAAAATATGCTTTTCCCACTGATAATAAATCTGAAAATACTTTTTTTATTTTTTTTTTAGTTTCTGGAACACACAAAAATGCTGATTCTTTAAATATGAGGTTTTTTAGAATTTCTTTTTTTAAAAAGCAAAACCTTGCCAATTTTGAAGGAAAAAAGTGGTTTTAAGAGTCCTGGACTCTATCCTTTTTGTGACATTTTGAGGCATGTAGAGCTAGAGCAGAATTTGGCAGATTTTCCCTGAGGGGCCACAGGGTCTTGGGCCTTGCTGTCTTTAGTCCCAACTATGAAACTCTGCCTTTACCTTGTGGAAACAGCCATAGACAGCACACACACAAACAATAAAATGTTCTTTATCAAAACACCTAGATACGGTCTGTGGGTCATAGCTTGCCAATCCCTGAATTAGAATAGTAATTTCAGATTTTTACAGGACAAAACTATTGAGACTTTTGGGATGGCTATTTTAAGCCAAGTTTAAGGAAACTACATAGGAAGTTAATATAAACTCTAAAAATGTGATTGAAAAGTTGAGAATTGTAATACCCAGAAGTCAGAAAATTATAGGGCTAATTTCAACCATGGTATTATCGAGGTAGAAGAACTTTCCAATTGCAACTCTTCTTTTGTTTTTAATTTCCACTTTTTTTCCAAAATAGAATGCGAGCTGGGAGCTGGGAGGCACTAGATAAAGCTAGATGATGTCCTACCACAGCAGTATAAGGTCATTAGGAGCTCACCCCAGTCTGACCTTGAACTGGTTGATATGAACAGTGCCTCTTGTTCGGCCATGTGGTAGAACTAGCCCACCACATGGTCTCATCTACCACTCTTGCCTTTCATTTGTATTGCGAGGATACTTTATAGAACTCCCCATATGGCATTTGCTCTTCCGTTCAAGTCTGTGAGGTAGCCTAAGGATAGGATGGCATCTACATTTTACAAAAGAGGAAACAGAGCCTAGGAGATGACGAGTGGCTTCTTCCAGGGCCCAGAGGGATGCTCTGGCCCAAGTCTGTGATTCTGAAGCCAAAGGATCCTGCTACCCTTCCTGAGTGGGCAAAGAATGGAGCACTCACCCAGCCATAAGTGTCCTGTCCTTATTAACCATTGGGTTCCCTATAGAGAACTTACTGAATGAGCATATTAAGATGTTGATGCATCTTTCTTTAGACTGTAAATGTAGCCAGTTTGGAGTCATGCTGGTGCAGGAAAGGGAGCTCTGAATTGAATGACATTTGACTCTTTGTGTTGAGCTCACATTCTTTTTTTAAGGAACAAAAGAATAAGCAGTCTGGGTAACCTTAGAAAGGTCAGAGAGATAAGAGTAGAAATACTGTAATGCAGTAAGTATTGTTCAGGTAAGACTGAGAGGGGGTCACTCTATGCGTGGCTCCATAGAGGGCTGGCCCCCTGAGCAACATGTTCTCTATCAGTTTGATGGGAGAGTTTGGTAATGGAAGAATTTTTTACATTACTGATTTTTATGCAGTTATTTGGAAATACGCCAGACAGTAAGCTAGGTCCTGGGGTTACAGCACTGAAAATGATAGATAAGGTCCTTGACCTTGTATTCTGGTGGGAAACTGATCAGAAGAAACTGATTTTGTGCACTTAATCGATTTTGGAAAACCACTGATCCTTTTTTAATTGTACTAGTTTGCTTCTCTTAGAAGACTGTGCCTTATCCTACAAATGCATTGTGTGTATTATCTTTTTTTACAGAGCACTTGATTACACAACAAGTTGTTGCTTAATTCTCACAGCCACTCTGGGAGGGATGTGTGGGGATCCTCATCCCCATTTTATAGATGAGGAGATTTAGGTCTCAGAGATTTAGACAGTGCGACCCCGCCTCCTGGTTTGCCAGGATAGTCCTGGCTCATGCTTCCTGTCCCGCTGGAATGGTACCCCCTTTAGCTCTCACAAATGCCCTGTTTTAGATGATAAATTACATTGTCAGCCTAAGTAAAGGACTTGCTTGAACTCAGATCTTTAATGTCATATTGGTTTTTCTCCCTGCTACAACAAAAGAATGTGAGACTTGATTTAGACAAAGTTTAGTTGAGCAGCTCAGTAGAAGATAAATTTCGCATAGCCTCATCTCTGTTCCAAACCAAAGTTTCACTGAAGTGTTACTGCACAGAGGAAAGTGGGCAGTTAGTGGCTGATAGGGTAGTTAGCTAATAAAGTCAAATTGCTGGGCACCTGTGGCAGAGACCTTTGGGAACTGTATAAGTCCCAGTACTGCATATCAAGCGCTGATAATCTCCTCGACTTATCTTATGGTTTTGTTGAGGCCTGGGTTTGAGTAGGATGGGCTGCTTAGCTGAAAAGCTGGCCTGTGTGCCAGGTTTAACCCTTGCAATTCTCTGCCGGTCATCACCTGCACAGTTTGGGAAGACTGTGTGCCAGAGTGGCCTTCTTCAACTTGGTGGGGAAGAGGGGCATCTCTTTAACAGGGAATGTTTCCTGGTAGTGGGACACCTAATCTGCTTTGATTATCAGAGTTGGTGGTCAGAGAGCCTTTTAGAGATTATCCAGCCTGGGGCGAACAGTGCTTGGCATTCCAGCCCCATGACCTTGTCAGCTCCAACAGAGCAGAGAGTGATGGGGAGGAACCTCAGGCACCCACCACCTAGAGGTAGCTATGGGGCTGGTAGAGGGCCTGGCCCTTGTCTCTCGGAGAAACTCCAGAGGAGGTGTGTCGCCATGGCCCTGGCAGCTGGTCTCTGGCTCCCCCGGGTGCTCACCCTGCTATGAGTGGGAGCCTACGAAGAGGGAGCGTCCTTGAGGGAAGGCTCAGCTTAACAGTGCGGTAGCGAAGTATCTAGTACAACGCTGATGTACCATAGGCACTCGGTTCATGTTCCGTTGAGTGGAATAAACAAGTGTTAACCCCACCTCTGTGGCTGATTATCTGAACTGCCTTGGATGAGTGCTTTGTAAAGTAGCAGCAGTGAAGATGAGGTAATAATACAAGTGTGCTGTATCATTCTGTACAGGTATAAGCTGTGAAAAAGGAGAACTTGCTTTGACTGCAATTTTCTTAACTGTACCCAGAACTTAACTTGGTCAATAATTTAAGTGATCCAAGAGGCAAGGTGTTTTGTACACCTCCCCTCTCCCGGCCCCGTTTTTCCCCTCAATGGATCCAATCAAATGCAGTATTTTATTTTAAATTCAGCAGACATGTGTTGAGTGCTTGCTGCGTGCCCGGCCCTGTTAGGCGCAGGGATACAGCAGTGCATGAGGCAGGGAGAGCCCCTGCTGTAGTGTATGTGGAGCTTCATTCTGGTGCAGAGAAACCAGTGAATGTCAGCTGTCGTACACACTGCAAAGGAAGTACAGCAGGCTAATGGCTGGGGTATAGGTGCTATTTTAAATGGATGTGTAACATTTAGCCTGAGACTTGAATGTGGAAAAGAGCCAGATGGGTGCACAGCATTCCTGGCAGAGGGACCAGCGGGAGCCACCCTTTGAGGCAGGAGCAAGCTTGGCATGTTCAGATGAAGGTGGTAGGATGAGCAAAAGGAGGCCGTAGGTTGTAGAAACTGCTGTGGGCTTGGCTAAGGAGTTGGGATTTTACTCTAAGGGTGATGGATAGTTTTAAGCGGGGAAGTGCCATGCAATCTGCATTTTAAATGGGTCATTTATTCACTTGGTAGAGCACTGGGTTTTTGTTGTGCTTTGACACCAGGTTGGAGTCTACTGACACAGTCCTAGGAGAGGTGATAGTGGCTTAGAGTAGGGAGGTAGTGATGTGGATGCAGAGCAGGTGGTGGGCCTGGGACAGAGGCGGGGCTGATGGGGTAACAGATCGAGCTGAGAGTGCAGTTAGTGAGGGGAGAGGAAACGCAGGGATGTCCCGCTTTGGCATTTGACTACCCTGGGCGGGTGATGACGGTGGTGTGTATTTGCTTGCATGGAGAAGATGAAGTTTGGAGGAGGGGAAATACAGAGCTCAATTTTGG